GCTAGAAAACAGCAACGAACCTCTGGCATACCGTATCTCCATCTATTCTGTAGTTGCCTGGGGCCTCCTCTAAGTTGATTCGTTTAGAGAGGAGATATCGTGGAGCATACCACGCTTAAATTACTGGCGCCCGAGTTTTGTAAATATATCATTGTTTGTTCTCCATACGTCCGTATCAGGTGCCAACTGTATAGTTTTATCAATTCGAAAGAAAAATAGGATTACATTACTAAAATTTCAGGAACCTTGAAGCATCAATTGGTTTTCAACCATAACATCTGATAGTGGACTGTATATCATGATGATTGAATGAAATCAGAAGTGAAGAAATGAACTAAATTTATTTGTCTGAACTCATACATGTTTTTGCCATGACGGCTCTTAGCAGACTCTCATTCGAGACCCTACAAAATATACGCGCTTGCGCAACTCATAGCGCAACTCATCATACAAGGTATTCAGGGTTGCATAACCAGACAGATATATATATACCGCGTCAGTTTTGGCAGAATAATCATCATCTATTAATTCCATTAAGTTAAAAGCACCGAACGAAATTATCACTATAAGCAACGTAATTTAAAAGGAGCATTCTAATTGGTTCAAAATGAATGAAATCAAATTTCCAATTTAGTGTTCAATTGAGTGCATATATACGTATTTCTTAGCGGAATATTCGTTTCCAGAAGCGTGCATATTTAAGATATGCATAAATATAAACCGGTCTGCGATCTAAAATTGAAAGTAAGAATTCCCACAGAAACCCCCGAAATTGTTGACCTCTCCGAACACACATAACAATACGAAGACCGATGACCGTCATTCAGGAAGAAAGTGAAATTTCTCGTTGAACGATATCTCAGCGCGGGGCATGGCCTCGCGTGACCTTGAAACTTCTTGCTCGTTATTCTGGAGAAATTGACGACACGAACTGAATTTTGTCGATGTGTTACTCTTACTGTGGCGCTTTCACTTTCATTCGCTACTGCTTTATATTTTATTTCCGTACGACGAAAGCAATCAGGTATCGATCAGTCCTATTACTCTTATTCGAGGTTCTATCGATAAAACTCACTGAACTGCGAACTTTCTGAAAAAAAAAACACGAGAGCCTAACCTCATCGTCACATTAGTCAAAATTAATTACGTAAAAAATTAAGATTCATTAATGGGACCCTTCAAGCCTCGAGTGGAAGGAAAATAATTCTTGAGAGTCTAAATTAATACACCCAGTGTTGTCAGCTGCTGAACATGAAATGTCACAAAAAAATACGAAAAAATAGCTAGAAGCTGCCTCAGCGAACGAAGCGAGCAGAAATCCTGCTTTCGGTACTATATTCAATTCATGTTGAAAACCGTAGAATATCGACACGTTGCAAATCAAGTTGAAATGTCGCATTCACCAACCCTAAAACCATAGATTTAGAGCGACAAAACGGCTAAGATGGCTACCAATTGATCAGAGTGGGCTGACCTGCCGTCATGCTATCAGCGGACCAGAGTTGAACTTTCCTGACAATTTCCGATTTCCACAGGTTTTTCTGCTGATGAATCTCATTAAATAACAAGAATCCTAACATTTCAAATGCTGATAATGCTTCGTATACTTGAGGCTCTCGTGAAAAACCTCCATTTATCCAACCATTCTCTGCATAAAGACGAACTTATTTACTGGTCCTGATGATGTCGATAATTTCTCAGACAAATATGATCTTATAGATTTTTTTTCAAAATAAAGTTCAGGTGTATATGTCATTATGTTTGATTGTATGAATCGGTATATGGCCCTATACACAGCTTTTTTCAAATGTTGTATTTTGTGAGATGAATAAGTGGAATCTTGTGGTAGGAGCCGTAATTTTTTTTGGTTGTATGTATATTAACAACGAATGTACTAATTATTGGTTGTTCCCTATCGTGTTTCAGAATGAGAGTTAATAGTGTGGTGAGATGGTGTCATTTGGTTGATAAGCGAGTATTGAATATCTCCTTGGTTCCTTGCGGGAGAGAGAAGGACATATTATGACCTCTCACTCAGTTTGATTTCGTCTCCGTGGCGGCTCTTCTTTAATTCCCTCGTGATAATAACTTGTCATATTTCGCCTTACCATTGTCGATCTGAATGAAATAGCTATGGTTAGTAGGCGAGAGGCATCCTTCTTTCATTTAGATCGACAACATTCAATTGAGAAAAATTCCAGTTTCAACTAAATTATTGCCATCATAGTGCTATCGCTACTTGCTGAATTCTACCTATTATATGAAGAATTCATCAACTAAAAAAAACTCATCATCATTTGAAGAAATATCACATGTATATTCAAGACAAATTCGATATATAGACACAAATTTTAGTTGAATAATTGGCCTTGCAGATGAATAAAAAATATTCTACCAGAAAGGTCGTATGGAATGTGTGAACATTTTCAATAAACCCAGATGATTAAGTTGCATGTTATTCAATGCTTCTTTGTTTCTACCTCACCTAGGATTGTATTTCTCCCATAAAGATTTTTTTTCATTCAAGCAATAATTATTTTAATGTTGATAAGCTGGAAGAAATATTTCTTTTAATTTAAGTATTCCATTTTCATTTTCTAAAATGTAACATTGTTTTTTCGGGGTCGTCCACCCTTACTGCTATCTCTACTTGCAATGAATGAAAACAAACGCTGATCTCTGTAGAGTATCGAAGCGTTTTCCCAAACATGTTTATAGGGAAAAGAAGCCTATTCTGACCTGAAGAATGAGCCCCTGAAATTTTGATTCTGACGTCTGAAACATCCTGTATATTAGATTGAGTTAGGTAAGATTCTCGGAAAAAGTAGTCTCCTCATGCAGAAAGAATATTTTGTTCCTCTCCGTATATTCGATATTCACAAAGGAATTTTAAAAATACCGCCACGGCAACAAAACAAAACTGAGCGAGAGGTTGTTATATGTCTATCTCCCTCCCGCGGAGAACCGGGGGGATATTCAGTACTCGCAAATGATCAACAATATCATGAGAGAAATCAGATTGAGCAACGGTGTGAAATATCGATGGATATGACAGTCAGTGTCGCAAAGGTGAGCACTGAGTATAAGCTCAGGGCCTACTCTAGGTGAGATAGAGTAGGCCCTGATAAGCGACGGACTCAAATCACGGTGGATTCGATTACCCGTATCACAAACGCGATTGCCTTGTGTGTGAGTGCAAGTACGAATGTTGGAAAATGAATTCAACTGATTGATAGCCGGGATTGAAATGTTTGATGTCGCGAGAATAACTGAACTATATGTTGATTGATGAAGAGAACCAAACTGTGTTCAGTATAAAGGGATGAACCGTGTCTAGGTATGAAAAAATAATGGTATTGAGTATCTATTGTAATCAAAAGATGGTGCTAGGTACCTAACCGTATCGTACCGTACTAAGTTCAGTGTAAAGGGCTGAACCGTGTCTTGAAAGGAAAAAATAATGGTGTTTTCGTTCGAAATTAAAAGTTGATGCTAGGTACCTTACTGTACCGAACTGAGTTCAGTGTGAAGCACTGAACCGTGTCTTGGAATGAGATATATAAAAGTATTCAACTTTTACTTCGTTTTGACAGGGAATCAATTACTCACGTGGTTGTTTACAATGAATAGGTAAATGTACCAATAATCGCGCTTAAAAAAAACGAAAATGCATTCCTGTCTATTTTTTAGGAAAACTCATTTGTACTTCCATGATAATTCATAGTTCTAAGTTCAGTTTGATGCAGATTATCTGATGAATTTCGTTTTATTTTTTCAATAATTATAAGTTGGAATAACGGAACACATTCCATACATAAAGTGTCGGCTATGAAGTACTACCCTAATAACACACTTATGTCCCATGGATATCCTTAGGACGTCCATAGGACGTTCGAATATGGTACCGTGGACGTCCATTGGACGTCTGTGGGACGCACAAATGTCCCACTTGAGAACCTACTAGGGACGTCCTTGAGGGATGTCCCTGGGACAACTATCGAATACCTTAATCCCACAGTATTCCTCATCAAGCACTACAGAGGACACCCTTAGGACAACCTATCAGCAACGCTGAGGGATATCAATTGTATGTCCATAGGATGTCCCAGCGACGTACGAATTATTCTTGAATTTGAATTTTTCTGGGTCCCTCTAGGACCAGATCTTGCATAACTGATTAGAACATCCAGTTGAGTTGATGATCCGTAGAAGGTCCCCAAATAGTTTCCCAAGGATGTCCAATGGACTTACGTGAAGGACATTGACGAGGAGGACTTATAGCCTACGAGCACTCATTCGTCGACGAGGTGTAAGTTAACGTCCTCGCAGGGACAATATATTGAAAGTACCGACTGGGACGCCCATAGGACGTTATTTCTAGGACATTGGAAGAGTACAGTTTATGTACCAATTGGGACATCCGACGGATATCTCTAAGGGACATTCCGATTGTTATACGATCCTGGAAATATCAAGGGCGTCTGTGCAGAGATATTTGGAGGAATGTACCATCAGGAACATTTCATGGTTGTCTAGAAGGGACATTATACAGGATCTGAAGTCAAGCCAGAATATAAACTACTCAGGACATCCGATGGATGTCCCTAAAGGGACGTTTAAAATCTTATCCCATCAGGGACATGCCAAGGACGTCCTTGCATGGACATTCTACAAAATGTACCACGTGGGACGTCTAAGGGATGCTATTTCTAGGACAATTGAAATGATGTACCAGCTGGGACATTCCGTGGACGTCCTTGCTCGGACATTGCATGAGATGTACGGGATGGGACGTCCCAAGGACACTTATTTTTGGTTCGGGACATTCGGACGTGAATTGTACCAAATAGGGACGTCCCTAGGACGTTGTTTGCTATTAGGGTATGTAACGTAAAGAAATATAGTTAATCTTCTACAGCTACGGAAATACATCATTTTGTGAATTTATGATGGAATCCCTTCACCGAAATCGTGATTTCCGTCGAATGTGAGAGAAATTCTCATACATTGATAGCGTTGACCTGTCTTCGTCGTGACCTCCTAGTTGTCTGGGATAAAATGGAAATTCTGGAAGAGAACGCAATATGGAGAGTATAACTGTCATCTGCAAAGCAGGTAGTACTTTAAAGCACACTCTGTTTAAATCACCGTTTTGTGGATTTTACTTTGTATTTTCAAGCTTAACGAGTTATTTTCTACGTGAATGGGAGGCTATTGACGGCTATATTCCTGAAAATATGTTCTGAATACCACTGGTTGAAATGTCGAAATGAGGTGGAAAAATAAGAGATATAGGGTTTCAATGTAGCTTCCACTGTTCTGCCTTTTATTGAAAAGGGATATGATGTCGTGGTTTACTATTTTCTTCAGAAATGAACTCTGTCGTCAGAGATATAGAGTTTCAATCATCTTTTCAGAATATTAGTTACATACGGCATACGGGAATAATCACGATCGTCATTTTGTATTTGAAGTCTGGTGAAGGAATTACTATGACTACCTATAGACGTGATATAAAAAAATAACTCCTACAAAAACACCGATGACTTTGATGCATCATTGTATGACAGTGGTTTAGTACAGGGTTTCTATAAAATATCGTAGATTCGTAGTGACTGATGTGAATGTTAGATACCGAATGAGTTACAGTTGGATCGAGTAAAAAACGACAAAATAATAAAAGCTATTAACATATCAAGGGAGGAAAGGTATATATTTTCTCCTGCGTGTGAAGTTCGATGCACCGGTGGTAACGATTAAACACACATGGGAAGAAATGCACCTTTGCTCCCATGATATAAACAGGGTGTTTCCTAATTCAATGTCAATATTTCAGGTGATTTTTGGGTCCATTTTGAAAAGAAAATTGTAGATGAACGTCTTGACTCAAACAGCTTGGCCGATTCTTGTGAACATTTTTGTGCACATTCAGTAGGTCTGATGAGAATCGGCCGTAAACTATTCTTCAAATTAAAAATTCAAGATGGCGGATCCAATATGGCAAACGGGTTTAGAAATTTGGCAGGTGTACATAATCCTGGTGGCAATGCATCATGGAAGTTTTGTTAGAGAATAAACAAAATAACGGCTCCAGAATGGCGGACGAGTTTCGTAATTATGATCCGATTCTATTCAAAATTGGTATCTGAGGGTTTTCAGGATCGAAGATTATGATTCTTTTGAAAGAGTCAGGAGATTTATGATAGCTGATCCAGTATGGCGGACGAGTTTCGTAATTATGACCCGATTTTATTAAAAATTTTCACCTGGGGGTTCTCGGGGTCGGAGATTATGTTTTTTGCTCCAAAATTGAGAAATTCAAGGCGGCGGATTCAAAATTTGTGATAAATAATAAATAATGTTGAAACGCGCTATCATAGATAGCCAAACTGAATAGAAGTGAAACATAGTTAGTACTTATAGTTTGAAAGACTAAATAGATAGATTGTCGAACTATAAAGAAGTAGGAAAAGAGTAGTTTGGAAAACTGAAGAAACACGTTTTTATGGATAGTCAAACTGAAATGACGTAGGAAAGAAAATAATAAAAGAGTGTTGATCAGTTGAAAGAATATTTCCTACAAATGAATGTATATAGCGAAACAACGTTTGCCGCTCCAGCTGGTGATAAAAGGAAAACAGAATCTACAACTTACCTGGCCCTTGCCCATCGTACGTGAAATCTTTGATGTACAAAGTTCTTCCGTCCACCGCGTAAACTTCTCCCGACACACCGTGATGCAATTCGGAGAGTTTCCCTATGAGTTTTCCGAAGTATTGGGCGCTGTGGCTTCCACCTGAAAAGAGAAAAACACGAGCTTATCATCTGTATGCAAATACGAAACTGGATCTGGACAACCAGCGAGTTGGGAAATAAAAGGACGAGAGTGTGTGGGTTTTCCACGGATGTGGGAATTCACTCTCTTGTGATGCTGGATTCTTCGAAAGCGCTGAAATGATATGGTGTGAAGGTAACAAAATAATAATAATCACAAAGGTATTTCAATATGAGGCTTTATGACGCGAATCTCGGCTTTTTTGCAAATAGCAGAGATTTGGGTAACTAATTTGAAACTGATACACAGTAGAAAGCAAATGTTCGATAGAAGGAGAGTTAAGTAAAAAACTCCATATTCAATTGAATACTGAGAAAATGAATGAAAATTTGAATAACTGAATGTAGTGGTGGTTTCGAATTAGTTTCATCAAACACAACACATATTCGTGATATCACTCATTTGAGTGATCAATACTCAGACAAACCTATTGCATACCACCTCCGAATATTAATAGTTCAAATTATAATTCACCACTACATCAAATAACATGTTTCATATCAGTTTTTGATAAATATCTCTTATGTAGTGGTATTAGGATTGTGTTGAATGCTACTCCTTTGATATTTGTATTTGTACAAATCTACCACATCAGAGAGTGATATGCCGAAATAACGAAGCCAATCGTCGACGTTCGTTTTTTTGATGCAGGTGGCTTGGCGTTGGCGTGGTCGTTTCATCAGTTGTTGATAGTTCATCTTTCGTTGCGTTCGTCTCGTGAATTATGAATAGAATAAATTTCATTGGCCCATGGAGTTTTTATATGCAGTGCATGTGTATAGTGTAAGTACCTACTTAACTACAAACTGTGGTACTGTGAAGTGTGAACTATACCTGATAGTGGTAACTCGAAGGGTTGTTACCGGTGTTCAACAGTAAGTAAAATACCTATTCTTCTCATCTTGAAACTGAAATGGCAGGTGAACGTTGCACGCGTTATGGAGGAGAACGAAAAAATCTCAATTTTGTTGCACACAAACATCAAATTTACACCATAATTCGATTTTTCTCTCATTCCCAACTCCATTCATATACTCAGATAATTATCTCTACTACTTTACCTAATTATCATAACATATGGGCTCCGTGGCCAAGTTTTTCTATGCGCTGAAAGTCGCTAGATAGCCGTTCACTCGGCCGTTCACGATGCAGAGGTACTGTCGGTTCGAATCCGGCTATCGGCTTAGCATTTTTCTTTAAAATGTGTGATTCATGGTTGTAATCCTGGCAGCACCTCGATGCCCTAGAAGTGGTTCGAATTCCACTATAAGCTGTAGGTCCCGCTCTTCCTAACCCCGCACAAGTTTCGACTTCTGGAGATTTGGTTCCAACTTTGAAGTAGCGATATACAAATTTTACAAATTTTTCAAAATACTTGCAAATTATTGAGATTCTGTGATATTTTTTAGTTTTTTCTCCAAATGAGTATGTCCCTGCCGGCGGTAGGAATATATTGATTCAGAGTTTGAACATACAAAATTGAACAGACAAAAATGAACGAATCTTTGAGTGGATATCACTAGTTTCGAGTGGTAAATATGAATTAAATAAGTAGAGTATAAATTCATTGTTTGTATAGTGCTAAATACGAACCGACGAGCTCACTCATTTGTAGTGGTGAATAATAACCGTAAATGTAGAGTTCCTAATAACTGGTGCTTCTGTATGTCATATTGCTTCAATCATACTATTTTGTAGTGGTTATATTAATTTGATGAATGTAGAGACAGGCGCCTATTCAACCACAACGCTTGGTATGGTATAGTGATCTTTAGGTATTTACCACGGAGAATCTCTTTCAGTGAAGGGACCCAATCTCTCACATCGAGAAAAGTATTTTCTTGATCATTTACTTTAACAGAACACTCGAATAACTTGCCTGAAATCAGATGACGTTGAAACAAGATCGGTGATTTTCATTTCGAAACGGACTAGCACTTCGAAGTGAGAAATGAAATATTTTCTACTGAAGATATGATCGACTGGATCTGAGTTAAAATATCTTGGTCCAATGCAATTCTTTTATATTACTTGGAAGATCTCAATTCGTTCATAACAACACACTTGAAAATCTCGAAGAGAGAGTGCATATGTATACAAAAAATCATAACCCTTTTTCTGATTCAACAGTGTTATCTTGAAACCGACTTATTATTCGTATTGTTTTGAGGAAATATGTCTTATTTCAATATAAGCCATGTTTTTTGTTTGAAAGATATTGCTCTCATCATTTCAAGAAATCGAGATTTTCACTAAGAATGTGGAGATTTCTTGTTAGAAGGAAATTCGTTTTTTGATAGTAAAAATTGTAAGAGTGGGGGACGACACGTCCACTAGAACGCGGTGAACAAGTGCCAAAGACTACCGAAGAACTATTCGGTAATATTTGCAAGTGCACTCGTTATCGTGTGTGTCGTGGATTTCTGTGGTTTGGGGTGTTTTGGTGTTGTTTGGTGTGGTTTGGATCTCAGCTATGGCAAATAATAATGGGTGAACTTCTCCGAGAATGGACATTTTAGTAACTTATGGAATGAATCAAGGATCTTCGAGATTAGTGTTAATAGGTACACTCGTCTTAAGTGAGCACATGGATGGTGTCAGCTCCATCAATCACCGCTGCAATAAAAGCACTATACTGTCCAACCGCCAAAAGTTCTCTGAAAACGAGTGTACCTACCTATAAAATAGGTACTCACCTATAATATATAGGTATACAGTCGTCTTCAGAAAACATGTCGCATATGGACGATGATAGCATTCTTGATAACTCCTGCAATAAGAGCGCTGACCCCGTTCAACCGCGACATGATATCTGAAGACGACTGTACCTACCAATAATATAGGTATGAATAGGAAGAACCCACTTTAGGTCTTATAATGCGTTCTTTCTATTCATATACAGTATGATGCAAATGTATGGAATAAATTCATTTCAAAACGAGTCGACTTTCAAAAAAAAACAAAAACTAGAGTTTAGAACTTTTTTTTTCGACGTATTTTTTTAACTAGATGACCCTTCGATGTTCAATTCTCAGTAGCAGACCTCTGCAAGATTCAGTTAATCACATGATAATCCATTTCAATTTCAATCTTCTTATGCAACATTTTGACTGTTGAATAGACGATCAGTAGACCTTTCAATCAAGGTGTCACATGACCCCTATATGTATTTGAAAAAATCGTCCATTACGTCTTTACTCCAACACCGGTGATGTAACATCTCTCATATGAATATCATGAGATGAGGCTTCAGAAATTAAAACTCACGTGTCTTTGGAATTTTTCAAATGTCGCACATTTCTGAAATAATGAATTTATTCCATACATTTGCATCATACTGTATATTAACACGTTGCGTTAGAGCGTTAGTTGTAATGAAATATTTGCATGCTGATTATCAGTACTACTTTTTCTTCCACTGAAAAATACGTATCGCGACGTCTGTGGCGACGTGCCAAAGTCAAACTCAACATCAAGTAGGTACAATCGTTTTCAGCAAACATGTCGCGGTCGGACGGTGTGAGCGCTCTCATTGCACAAGTGATTTAGACAGCACACACCGTCCATGTGCGACATGTTCACTGAAGTCGAGTGTACATGGTGGTTCATTTGGTATTATTGGTTCAAAAGACGATTTCTTTCATGAAATTGGTATATAGACATATGATTTAGAAACCAATAAATAAATGAATAATCAAATTAGGTTTAGGAATTCAAGTCAAGAATGCCATTTTCTCTCATTCCAATATTGTATGTTCTCGCTATAAAATCATTATAGATTATTGACATATAGATTGTAGAATGAAATATTTCTGTATTTTTCATTCAAGAATTTTATTCCCTTTCATAAGTTATATGTATCAGAAGGGAATACTCTCTTGTTGAGTTACAAGAGCATGTATCCTCGAGTAGTTATTTCAAATCTCCAATTAAAAACTAATTTGTCTTATCAGAAGACACCAACTGAACTTCTTGAACGAACAGATGGTGTGTCTCAATGATTTGAGTATAGATGAGAGAATAAGTCTTCGAACAAGAGAATAAGGTGATCTTGATTCGACATCTAGTAAATCTGCTGATTAATTTCATCAGAAGTTTTTGCAGTTTCTAATAGAGGAAATGCAATCTCTCAATTGGATTGAATTGCAAATGGTTATGCAGAAATAGGAGCAAATTTCAAAACAAGAGCATCGCTTTTCTTGAAATGAGTATTCAGATCTCTCCAAATAAGCGATACACTGAATTCGACGAAGATTCATAATATTCTGGTTCAAAGTACTCATTTGATCTTTCCAAACATGTGGAAATATTTCCTTAGAGTTATTAATTTTCTCAAACAGAGATTGAATTAGTTTCGAATAATCATAGCTGATTTCTTCACTGAATATCTTCTAGCATTTCTCTTCAATACATTCGTGAATTTTGTTTAAAGAATTTGAAGCTGATGCGTCAAACGAAGGTTACATTGTATAGTTTCAAGGGAAGAGTTATGTTTCAAATTGAGATAAATTATTTCTCAGTTCGATAAAATATTTCTTTATGAATATAGAAGAGCGGGATTTCTCTGGTTGAAGTTCTTTTTCTTCATTTATTTTTACTGTGTAGGTTGTTTAGGTTTCTATCAAATTAAACACCTAGAACTATCAATTATTGGGATCTCTCATCTCAAAGAATCCATTTATTTTCAGCATTGTCAAGAACCATTGAGAAAAGCCCCAGAAATAAAGGGCGATGGCCAAAGATAACTTTTATCTAAACGATATATAAAGGTCCTATGAGCTTTTCTCCTCGTTTTCTCACACTTCTTCCCTACAACGTCATACTTTGAATCATTTATTTCAATTTCTACAGCGACTGATAACATTTTCTTTCAACTTGCCCTTACAGCAATATGAGAACGAGAGTGAGGTCTAAAGAGATATAGTTTTCAATATACAAAGCAAGGGTGCGAAAAGGAAATAATTTGGTTTGATATTCTCTCGATACGGAAAACCTACTCGGCGTGCCAGGATTTTTATTTCCTGTAAACGGCATAAACCCCATTCTCTGTATTTTTATTATAAACTATAGCTTTTACTCGCGGCTTGGCTCGCTTTGAAGCCCTAAAATAAATATCAAAGATCATTAAATTTGAATAGAACTGAATCACTGTGATTCAGTAATTGAAAATAGCAACATATATACAATGGAGTTTCAACAAACTGTAAACATGCTCTATTGAAATAATTAAATACAACAAAAGCATTCCACTACAACGAAAATGACAGAAAATATCCTGAAATCTTGAGAAAAAAAAATATTGAAATAGAGAATCACTATCAGCCCCAACTATAAATATCTTTACAGTATTTTCTCAATGAAACACTTCGAAAGAAGAAGAAAAAGTAGGTGGATTTGAGCCTGGTAACTTTGGATTTATCAAACACGCACTTTACTTCACTGGCCATTATGTTTCCTGCGAAATTATGTATCAAATATATTTATAGAGTCATGATAACCTTTACCACACGGATTATTTGCTGCATCGCATACTTCTCTTATGGCACGGCAGGCACGGTGGACCATTTCGGGTAGTATTGAATTCCTGTATTGCGTACACATAGATTATTTGTTGCGCCCTGTCTCTAGGCGAATGAATTCATGTAGTTTGGTTGAGCAGGACACTGAAACATCAATGTCATTCGTGCTCGGGTCATACAATAAAAAACAATCTGAAGGGTAGCTCCCATTCAGTAATTAATTTGCGCCTTCGAAGTGCCCACCTGATGTTAGGTTAGATATTTGTCAATTTCATTCCATCGTCTGAATGATTGGAGACTTTCGAGTAGCAAAAGACGTATTCCAATAATTAATATCCAAAATACCGACGTGTCTAACAATCATGTCTGTCGAAGAATTTTTTCTGCCTGGCGTAAAATTTTCATTTTTCAATAAGAAACATCCTATGTCCTCTCTTATACATCTAAGATGAGATGTATACAGAGTTTCATCATAATCGGTTGAGTAGTTTTGGTGTGAAAGCTCGACAAACAAACTTACATTCGCATTTATAATATTAGTAGGGATAGGGATTGCGATAATACAGAGTATCTCATGGGATATCGAAATGGCTCGAAATAACCTGGATGTAAGACAAGTACTACTAGGATAATCGAAAAAAAAATGTGACTACTATCTCTGTCAGTGTCGTGATATTGCTAGAATATTTTCGTTATAGGGAAGAATTCATCCAATAAAAGAAAATGATCCTGAAGTTTCACTGTTCATGAACCTTCAAGTCACCGAAATGGAGCTCCCTAGAATTTTATATAACAATCCTTGGATTCCTTGGTTGTGGATTATTGGTAATATCTATCACCTGTTATTCAACAGAATCATGAAATCAAAATCACTTAAATAAATCGAGTTGAGAGCTTGAGGGATGAATCAATGGAAATAAAAAACTAGTTCTGTTTTGCAGATATATGGAATATGAATTATTTGTAAACTGCTGCTTTTTCAGCTCTCATCCGTATATTATTTTGTTTGCGATGCTGCGATGAACAAAACATTGAAAATTGCTCTTTGCACAACATTCTCCTCCGGGATTTTATAGTATCTCATGCAGATTAAAATGGATGGATCATCGAGAATGCAAAATAGAATTTATACAGGTGTATAGTCCATTATTTCAATGTAGCTTCACTGCTCGTTAATTCAATTCAGATAATTCTTGGAACCGATGGTGTGCTTTAAAATTGATGAAGAAAATCGCAGACATAGAAGTAGCAGAAGTAACAATATGTGAAAAATGGACTCAATGACTTGTCTCTTTCTTTTTTTTTATTATCTTAACTTTTATGTGAGCGTATTCATTGCATCTATCTACAGAAATAGAAAATATAGTGATTGTGGGAACAATTCTTTGGCAAATACTTCCATTCGTTATCGAAAAATTACTTTTGATAACATACGTATAATTCGATATTGACAACAAGAAGGTGTGCTGACTAGGCTTTTTGAGTTGGTCTGACTGGTATTGTTAGCGGTCGCAGACCCTCCTACGGTGTCCCAATGGTGGCAACACCAACCAGGTGCTCGCTATAAAAAGTCGAGTTTTTGTGGTGCAGCTTCCGCAACGGATCTGACATGATTTTATTATGAAATAATAGTATTACTGATGGAAAACCGAGCATAGATATGAGTTCGGCTATTTTACAGGTTGTCCCATTGGGAAACGGACAAATTTAAACGGTGACTAGGGGTCGTCAAGGTGGTTCTGAATATACCATAGTTGTATTGTCTTTCAAGTTTTATATTCGAGATATTTGGTGTATAGAGGGTGTCCCAAAATCAGCCTGCCAACCTTCACCAACTCTCAATGAACATAAGTCGAGAAATGTCTCCTAAGAGAGCTACGGCCCCCTGGAAGGGAGCTCCTGAAGATGATATTCCTTGAGTATTTCCGGAACTCCATGTAATAAGAAGATGCAATTTGGTAGAAGAACTAAAGTTTGCATGCCGAATGCAGTGAATATGGAATTCTTTCAAAATTTCAATCAGGAGTATATAATACAGGGTGGGGCTACATTAAATATTGCTCAAAATTTTTTCTATGCATATCTTTTGACAATTCAACCTCGGATTATGAAATTTCACACCTATTTACAGAAAGAAGGTACTCTTCTTTCGTGACGATCAGATGTATTATTATCGAGTAGAAGCAATTCAAAAATACTGTTACATCTCAGATATCATGCCTAACATTGCAATGAGGCGTAGTGAAAATGAAGAAAGAAATGCATAAAAATTGAACTAGTTGTTTCATCATTATTTTTCTATTTTCCGCGCTTTTATGAGTTTGTTTGGTGAAAAGAAAGTACTTCATTTTTTTAAAGCCACTATGATTTGAAAATTGGCAAACGTTAAGCATCATAAGATGTGAGTGCATCAATATTTTTAAATCGATTTCACTCGAAGTTGATACATCTGATCGATGCGAAACAGAAGCATCTTTTCTAGTGAAATGGTGTGGATTTTCATAATTCGAGATTGAATTGTCAAAAAATATGCATATGAAAAAGTTTGAGCAATATTTAATGTAGTCCCACCCTGTAGTATACACTCCTGAATGAAACTTTAAAATTATTTTATGTTCACCGCATTGGGGATTGTGAGTTTAGTTTTTGTACCGGATTGCAACATTTTATCACGTGGCGTTTCGGAAATATTCAAGAATTATCATCTTCAGGAGCCCCCTTTCAGGGGCCGTAGCTACCTTAGGAGTCATTTCTTGACTCATGTTCATTGGAACTTTTCTTCCTCTTTTTGGTCGAAGAAGCCGCTGGTGTAGTTTGGCAGGCTAATTTTGGGACACCCTGTATATCTCTTGGAAATTGGTCCACGATTCCCACTGCCCACCTTTTGCGACGCTACTGGAAGTGGTAGTTTTATTATGGGTAGACAGTGGGCAGGAAACGGCAGGAGCCCCCTATTGCATCGGATGAGCGTGCCAAATTTTGTCGGGGTTTTTGTGTGGTTGGGGAAGGGCTGATATTTTTCTGGAAACTTTGACGCCCTCTGTCTCTGGAATGAGGCGGGATGGGACGCATGCTTGTGAGGCAAAGGAGTATTGTTTCTGCCTGGAGGACTGGTCCTGGACGTTTGGTGGTTTGACTTAGGGTCACCCTGTATATATCCATTTTTTTATGTTCATAATCATATCTGAGGATTCTCCTCCCCATTATAACTATTGTCTGGATATTACGAAAGCATCTAGGGGTCACACAAATGACATTAATTTATTCTTTCCAGTATAATGAAAAGAAATCGTTAGTGATCGAAATATTGATGAATATTGATAGTTATTGTTATATCGATAGTTATCGACAAATCGATATTTATCGATTTATCGATAGTTATCGATTCATCGATAGTTATCGATAAATCTATATATCGATATTTTTGGAATTATATACCGTTATTCGATATATCGATATATCGATATATTCGTCGATATTATGATATTTCTTCCCTGGTCCACTGTATACAGGGTGTTCCTTAATGATATGCTAATATTCAAGAGGCTGATTCTTTGACCCATTTCAAGAAAAAAACTTCACATGAACATATGTCGTAAATGTCCTAACTTTTGAGATATAGAGTGTCAATGTTGAAAATACGCATAGATTATTTTTTTGTCCACCCTGTATAGCTTTTCGTGATGGCAAAATTCAGTCTGCTGTGTGACTGAATCGGTTTACAAATTTCAAAATGTTACATACGGTGGTTATGCAGTAATAGATGTCCTGAATGGAGTACTCATACATCAAAATTTTAGGTCTGGTCACGTTTTTCCGTTTTCTCTCGAAAACGAAGCGTTCTATCGAGTATCAACAAGAGGATCTTTTTGGTACATAATTGAATAGCGTTTTATAGCATTGTATGAAATTTGAAAATTTTTTGTCGTTGCTCACTTTTTAGTTAAATATAAATAATAATTTTTCCGTAACTGTGCCACTGGTAGAGAAAATGCAAATTTTTGTACATCAGAAAATGCAACTTGATGCATGAAAGACGTGTGCGGAATTTCATACAGATGTATACAATATTGTCTTAGTCATCATCAAAAAACTGAATATTTTTCGAAACTTCATCACTCTGTATCTCAAAAATTATAAAGACCTTTAGGACATACGTTCATATGAAGTTTTCTTCTTGAACTGAGTCAGAGAATCACCCCCTCGAATATCAGCATGTCTCTAAGGAACACCCTGTATATTTGCATAGCTCAGAACGACTGAAACAGAAAATGTCTCATTTTTTAAATGAGTACACCAACTGTTCGAAGCTGGGCCGGGCAGCTATAGTTGTTTTATAAGATTAGTGTTCCAAACTACTTCAAATGTGTTTATATTGAATCTAATAATTCGAAGTACGATATTTCAAGCACTTGTAGGGGAATTAAATACATTTCTTTCAGAACGAATTGAGGCAACTTTTAGGTACGCTCTTTGTACCTCAAACATCGCGACAAGGTATTGCCTCATACATTGAACTTGCCTTATAATTTACTCTTGGGTGATTTCGGAAATGATGACCAAACTAAGACTTCCCAAACATCATCTGTTTGTTTAGATATAGTTTCCATTATATTCTGAAAGTCGCAGTTATCTACACAAGAATCGTCTTGTCTTTGTGTCAGATTAATGTTGTGGCAGAAGTGTGAACAGAACTCCTCCGAGTGATTTATTCACGTAATCCTATATATATCCCAACTTCATGTGCGACTAAAGTTTGGATAAGGTCTGTTAGCTGTTCCTGCATGAAATCCATATTGTACACTACATATTTCTATACTACACTTTTCGGCGTGGACGAGTGTAAAGGAGTGGAGTGTAGTGAATTGATATCCTGTTCGTTGCTAGTGGTGTAGTCAAGTGTAGAGGAAGTTTGCGTATTATAATTGCATAGTAGAAACTCTTTGAACTTGGAAAAAAAGGACATTGGTGATGATGCTAATGATGATGACAGTTTCTTGAATATAGATGATGAATCAATTACTAGTTCTTTTGACGAGGATCAAT